CCCCCGATGTCCCCCAATGTCCCCAATGTCCCCAATGTCCCCCAATGTCCCCAATGTCCCCCAATGTCCCCAAGTGCCCCAGCTGCCCCCCATGTCCCCCATGTCCCCGATGTCCCCAAGTGCCACCCACCGTAGCCATCGTAAGGGTCGCTGTCCAGCGCCGGCAGCCGCCAGCAGCGGATCCGAGCGTCCAGGCCGGCGCTGCAGCACAGCCCGATGTCACCTGTGTCACCTGTGTCACCTGCGCCGTCACCGGTGTCACCTGCGCTGTCACCGGCACCGCCACCTGCTGCCACCGCCACCGCCAGCACCGCGCCCCTGCCGCGACAACGGCACCGCCACCTCAGGGGACAGCGAGGGGACAGCGAGGGGACAAGGAGGGGACACACAGGTGACACACACAGGTGACACAGAGGTGACAGGTGACGCACACAGGTAACACACAGTAGTGACACAGGGGTGACACATAGGTGACACACGCAGGTGACACAGGGGGTGACACAGGTGACAGATAACAGATGACACACAGGTGACACAAGGTGACACGGGGTGACACAGGTGACACACAGGTGACACACAAGTGACACACACAGGTAACACGGGATGACAGATGACACACACAGGGGTGACAGAAGGTGACACACAGGTGACACGGGTGACAGGGGTGACACACGGGTGACAGAAGGTGACACAGGTGACACACAGGTGACACACACAGGTGACACAGGTGACACACAGGTGACACACCTGTGCCCACGGAAGGCGTACACCGGCTCCACGTCCAGCGCCGCGCTCCTGAGGTGACACAGGTGACGCACACGGGTGACACAGGGGTGACAGAAGGTGACACAGGGATGACACAGGTGACACACAGGTGACACACAGATGACACAGGTGACACACAGGTGACACACCTGTGCCCACGGAAGGCGTACACCGGCTCCACGTCCAGCGCCGCGCTCCTGAGGTGACAACAACCGCAAACCCCGGTGACGCCGGCGCCCCGAGCGCGGTGCCACCACCGCCCCCCGCCCCCCCCACCTTTGTCACCCTGCTGTCACCTCTTGGGGACCAGCGGCTTCTGAAGGTTCCAGAGCTTCAGCGTGGCGTCCTCGGAGGCTGTCACCAGCGCCGGGTGACAAGGGACAAAGGCCAGCGCCCGCACGGCGTCGTAGTGACTGCGCAGCGTCAGGCGCGGGCTCCAGCTGCGCTTCGGGGACAGCGGCCGGCCACACGACACCTGGGGACGTGGTGGCACTTGGGGACACCCTGGGGACAGCCCAGGCACATGGTGGCACTTGGGGACACCCTGGGGACAGCCCAGGGACACGGTGGCACTTGGGGACACCCTGGGGACACTCTGGAGACAGCCCAGGGACGTGGTGGCACTTGGGGACACTCTGGGGACACTGGGACGTGGTGGCACTTGGGGACAGCCCGGGGACACCCTGGGGCCATGGTGGCACTTGGGGACACTCTGGGGACACTCCAGGGACACCCTGGGGACACTGTGGGGACACTCAGGGACAGGTGGCACTTGGGGACACTCTGGGGACACTCAGGGACACTGAGGGACAGGTGGCACCTGGGGACAGCCTGGGGACACTCAGGGACAGGTGTCACTCACGTCACCGCCGTCGTTGTCGTTTGTCACCGTCAGCTCCGCCAGGTCCCCGAGGCCGTCCAGGGCCAGCGCCTCGGCCGGGAGCCCTGGGGACACTGAGGGGACATTGGGGACACTGAGGGGACACTGAGGGGACACTGAGGGGACACAGAGGGGACACTGAGGGGACACTGAGGGGACACTGAGGGGACACAGAGGGGACACTGAGGGGACACTGAGGGGACACTGGGGACACTGAGGGGACACTGAGGGGACACAGAGGGGACACTGAGGGGACACTGAGGGGACACTGGGGACACTGAGGGGACACTGAGGGGACACAGAGGGGACACTGAGGGGACACTG